AAAAATCGTCTTTCTTTCATTTTCAAGTTAAAAAAAAGTTGATCCCATATTCATATTAAATTTTTATTTTTATTGTAATTTTTTCTTTGAATACAAAACAATATTTTACATTTATTATCTATCCTCCATAAATACTAAAATATCTTTACAGGTAAAATTTAATTCTTATCAAGCTGGTACAGATTGATTTACGACCTTCCACTGGGATATTATACAGGTTAATATCACAGCTGTCCGACCAGTCTGACATCTAGACGGATTGAGACATCCATAATAATAAGTCTCTACCCGTACTGTATGTAGTATATTTGTTTGGCATTGTTTAGATATATGACAGGTCTTTATTTTTCTCGTTTGAATTATACATATCCTCAGTGATTGATGTAATCTTGCATCCAGTTCATGTTTAGATATGGGCATAGAAAACTCTAGAGGAGAGAACCGAATACAAGATAATATCTATACGTCTCAGAAACCAAAATGTGGACTACTATGCACAATGCAATGCACAAGTGCTCACTGGATATCGCTCTGAGTTGTTGACAACATACCTAGTCTGGAATTAAAAATGACGCATAATAATAAACAATATTGTCATCTGAGATCTATAATCTTATTTTTACCATTGTAATGAAATAGCGGGCACAAATATACAAATCCACTTGCCCTCATTGACCTTTCCCGTGAACATCGCCTCAATAGACGCTAAAGATTTGATCACATGGTAATTTTTGTGTTTTTCTAATGTTGTCTATTGCTCATCAACCCAAAATACATACATGTAGTACCAATATCAAAATCTAAATATGATAACCTATCCACATTTTGGTACTAATGGGTGGGAGAGGGGGGAACATATCAAGGACCTCATCAACCTAAACAGTCAATATGTATTGCCTGATCAAATACAGCCCTTAAACCAACCACTTTGATATTGAAAGAATGAGGATGTATCACATGTACTCCCGACAAAGGTATCAACCAATGAGGTTATACCAATATCCTCAGTGACTGATAAAATCTTGCATCCAGTTCATGTTTAGTTATGGGCATAGAAAACTCTTTTGTCCATACAGCATATTTGCATTTCAATCTCAAATAACACCACTAGCAAGGCTTTCTCTTAAGGAATATTCTTCCCAAAACTCAAAACAAAAATGTCTTCAACACTTTATTAAATATTATTCTTTTATTTCTTTACAATGCTACTAACAATTTCATGATACGTGTACACAGTTCTTTATAAATAGTTTTACAATTCAATAAGTTCTCATGAATTCGACCACATACAAACTTATAAAGTCCCGTTATTACAATGAACTCCTATCAAAATGAACATTATTTGAATCACATCTTCAGCATGATGAAAGCTTGTTGTAAGCAAAGGGACTTCACCTCCAAGTGTCAACTATGCTGGCTTGTCGCTTACTTTACTATTATTGGATCAAACTTACTCTTTACTTCCCAATCAGGAACATTGACAATTGTATTTCCACTTGATTCTTCTCAACTCTGCTGGAAATATATTAACCAATAACAATTTGTTTATTTGTACTTGTACAGCATTAGTCACACTTCGAAAAGGAAAAATCCCTTCGCCTACAATCCACGTGGAAAACCACTACGGAATCATTGTCCCTTGAACTGTAGACAAAGACATTTACATTAAAAAATTTCACCATATATAAAATTTTAGTATACATTGATATACAAAATCATTCAACATTATATTTAGTAAATTAAACAAACAAAAATATTGCAACAATTAATCTTCCAAGTCAAACAGATTTTTGTGACGTCTTTCAACACATCAACGAAATTATATACAAATCCTATAATAAACATCTCAAAATTAGGGACAAATTTTTAGAATTGCTTTTAAATACGTTCAGTTAAACATAAAGCTGTTCCGTCACAGTTTTTTTTTTAATTCAAGTATCGTACCATACTGGCATCTTCTGCTTTTCTCTTTAATTCAGAAACACATAATTTAGTGTTATGTCTATATTTACACCATTTCTTTTTTTTATTATTATATTTTCTGAAATCAAATCATTACTTAAACATGGAATTTGTACTCACCAGATTCTGATCAGAAAAATCCTGTCCTTTAAGGTTGATCGCACGCATTGACATGAATTATTGTGCAATGTCATATTGCTTCTCCTTCATTCATCGGCTTGTCAGTAACACCCATGATCTGAAAACATAAACATTCTATTCATATTATATGTACATTGAAACAGACCGATGAACGCGGACCTCGACCAAGACACCTTATAATTCGATACACATCACTCCAGCCAAAAAAACTAATACCAAGTGACATGTAATTTCACACTAAATGCTTTCACTTTCTCAATCTTACTATTCTTTTCTCAAAGTCTTATTATACATAAAATATTTTAACAAAGTCCAATTATACATAAAGTATTTTAACGCGATAGCTCTTTGAGCGGCGTTTAACCGACGCACGGCATACCAAATATCTGACCACCTGGGTTAATAATAACTACCCATGGCAAGGTCTAAATCCCAAAACATTTCACCACCAAGGTCAAAAATGACCACCTAGGTCTATTAAGAAGCCACCAAGGCGAATATAAATGACCACCAAGGTCTTAAAGCCACCAAGGCTAGTATTTTCTATTTAATGTTGCCACCAAGGCAAATGTATCCAAAAAAAAATTACCACCTAGGTCTATTGCCACCAAGGCAAATATAAATGACCACCTAGGTCTATTGCCACCAAGGCATATATGAATGACCACCGAGATCTTAAAATCACCAAGGCTTTATTGCCACCAAGGCAAATGTAAGTAAAAGTTAAAGAATATAATTACTTTGCCGACAACACGTGGAGCACGACCATTCCACAGCTCTTGGATATTGAAAGAAGGAGGATGTATAACATGTACTTCCGCCAAAGATATCAACCAATGAGGTTATGAGTCATTTATTTTTAATTTCGGGTTAAAGTATAGCTAGCTTAGTAGTACGGGTTTTGCTAAATCGTTGAAAGCCTTATGGTGACCCATACTGTTAAATTCAACGTCATTTGGTGTCTAATGAAGATTTGTCTTATTTACAATCATACCTAACCTTCTTATTTTTAAAAAGCAAAACAATATCTAAAAGATAATTGTGTTATTGGCTACATTGTTTACAGTTGTTAATTTAATCAACTTCATGTTATGCTGATTATTAGTTTTTAGTCATTCAAACACTTAGGTATTTTCATTAAAATAAAGTGTTCACGGATAAATATTGCGTACGCGTCTGGTGTATATAGTTATACGACTTGTATTCTTGTTCACTAGTTTGATAAAGTTTCCATTAAGTAAAATTAAGTTTGGAAATATTCACTTGTAATACTTATGATAATATCAAATTTCAAAGACGACATGTTGTACAGGAATATTATATAATATTTATATTACTTAACAAACATCTCTAAATTGGGCTAATGAATAAGATTTACTTTAATTTACTATTATTAGCTTTGTGTTCTTTTAAAATATAAACATCATGAACGTGAGTGCATTTTTGCATTTTTGTTTTTACAAAGTATTATGTGATACAGCTGTGTTTTATGTGTAATGAGTACAGAACGACATGTTATAAGAAATTATGTTATGTACATATTAATTGCCATCATAATGTTTCAAATATAATGCTCTCTCGTGGCTTGCAAATTATAACATTACTGTGAAGAAAATGTCTATTTTGGTCACGTTTCTAGATGTAAAGCTCTGAATGTCAATGTTTGTCTTGTATCCGTGTCCAGAAGATAAGTGTATAGGTACTATCTTATGTTGATAAGTCAAGGATCAGTATAGAAGGCCGTTCTTTGACTTATAATGGTTTAATTTGTACAAATTGTTATTTGGATGGAGAGTTGTCTCATTGGCACTCTTACCACAGCTTCCTAAATATATATAAGAGTTAAAATCAACTCGACATGTAGCCTCTTTAAATAATTAATTCAACGGTTCGTTTAATGTAATGTATCCGGTCTTCTACATATATTTACTACATGTGATTCTGTAATTCACAATCGCCAATTATAGGAGTAGGAAAAGAGTTAAATCCTAAAAACATCACCTGTTTAACATGTTAATATAAACTTAAATATACAAACACTTTGACAATTGAGTAACACTTGTATCATGTTTATATACAATATGTTTGACAAAGTATTTGTTTGAAATGATACTAGCAGTATACCCTTGATGAGCAGACGATGAGTAAATGATAAATCAAATTTGATAGTATACCTTTACAATTATAAATGCAGGTATAATATTGACAAAACATTGAGTATTACTCATTTCCGGTTTATAAATACATCCTTGATCGCACAATTTCAAAAGCATCTCAATTACTCAAAGTACATATCTTTCTTATGTCATTTCGTACGACATATAACTTTTGACTTATCTTGTAATAAAGCTTATCAACACAAAAAATATTTAAGAAAATGTCAAAATGCAAGATTATTGTGTATATAAGGGCTTTCACTTAAATGTTCTTCATATATGTGTCCTTCATCATGTTCATGCATGTTTTAAAGATTTACTTCGCACATTATCGAGCATTTCCGCTTGTTTAAAGTGTGTTTCAACTCTCTTTAATATTTTTTAGTGTTGCTTTCTGCTTTTATCTTTATTTCGTAATGAGCTGTTTTATAATAATTATTTTTTAATATTTATTTATTCAGTTTATTTTACTATACTTGCCGATGTTAAAACAAATCTACACAATTCAATTACTAAATGCACACACACATGGTATCGTCCATGAATTTTCAATGACACAAACGTCCCTTTGACTATAAGTTCATGTATTACGACCAGTTACATAAGTAGTGTTTATCCATAAACGTGACAAAATGAAGGTCAGACGGTATCACCTATAAACAGAAAAGCTGATAGTTTTAAGACTTGAAAGTTCCACTACAGGTATCTATAGTATAAGTTCAGTCGACAGAAAAACTGAGCAATGGTGTATTTTAATATTTTCTGTATTTTATCTTTAACTGGAAGTTCCTATTCACAAGTTATTTCAAAAGGAAAATGTCCAGACGTGAAAGTGGTGTCCGATTTTAAGCTTCCATCGGTAAGTTGTATAGGGCATCGTGTATCATTTATAAGTATTTTTTTATATGCCCATTATTATCTTTTACATCTTTGTTTTTAAGCGAAAACGTTTGTTTATACTGATTAAACAAGGTGTTTTGTATGTTTTTTTTTTCTCTTTATCGTTTATAAGCGCACTGGTCAAGGTGCAAAAATTAAATGATTTGGATCTGACACAAATGTTGAACTCTGACGCAATTTAATGTGACTGTTCAAAGTCATGAGGCTCTTATGTATGTTCCTATGTTTCTTATTGTTTCTATCTAAATATTCTGATAATTTCAGGATAATATGATGTTTGATTTGTCTTAAAAAAGACGTCCACTCTGTCAACATATCAGAAGTTGCTCCTTTTGGAGTTCTTGTTATTTCCTCAGTGCTTTTTATAGCTTGAATTGTTTCTTCTCAATTGAATAATAAGATTTAAACATTAAAATACTACTATTGTCTTCACTCAATAACACCGTTCTTATAATTTATAATAACTTGAACATATTCGTTAATCTCTTCATAGATGTACGTCCGTATGTGAGCATTCGTCGATTTTAACACAGGTTGGATGAAACCGAGGACTTTAAAATTAGTATGTTCTGGTTTTTTTTCGAAAACATTTGTCATTAATAACAGCATCAATGATAACTTCAATTTTTCAATTATATGTTAGTGTAGATTTGAAGGATTAGAAACTGGGAATAATTTAGTTTTTCACTTTGGCTGTTTCAACCCTCAATAAAAGACTTTAATATAGTTAATAATCACTGGACAGGTATGTTTGTATCAGTAATCTCCAATAATATGTTTTAAGCTTTGAGTCACACAGATTATTCTTATTATGTCACACATTGATGAAGCCTATTATTTCAAGTACGTTTCTGCATCTGCATAACGAATAGTCTCTCTTAATCCAGATATACCCTTCCAAACTGACTTTGGTTACAAATACATCATGTTATTATGGATTTGTTTCTTATCTTTACGATATAATTTTTTATCGATTATGATATCTATCTATATTATATAGTATCTTGGAGACTGGTACGAGATATACAAGTTTAAAGCTGATTTTGAAAATGGTCAAAGTTGTATCCATGCCAATTACCAAAAGAAGGCAAATGGTCATATACAAGTATATAATAGAGGACAAACAGAGTAAGTCCAACCTTATATTATAACAAATGCCATAATAAAAATACCGAACTAATTTTGACATTTTTGCTTATTATCTCTGTATTTTTGTGTTTCAAAGAACAGTCATTTTCCGAAGACAATTGTGTGTTGAACCTTGTTTGTATACCTAGCTAACAATATTTTAAAACAAGCACCTAAAAGTTTGTAAACATACATGACAGACATGATAGATATGCAAAACAACTAAACAAAGTCGTAAAATATAACAAACAATTAAATCTAGTATGGTATAGTAGAACATACTTACCTATACAATCTCATGTTCAAAGTAGGTGAAATATAAATACATGTATGCACAATGACGCAATAAACAAATGAATACATCCTCTCCGAACCAACCAACGTCCGAATTGACTTAATTTGAAATTTTAAAAGGAGGATAAACAAATACAAAGTTACCAACACGTGTTACTCGAACAAAAGGGACATAATTAAAGACAAACAAAGGAAAACTGCACAATTAAATGAAAAACGTTATTGATTGTTGGTGTTAAGAGCAATTTTTCAACACCCTTTTTTGTTCAGTCATAACTATCAGCTTTTATTGGTACATGAATACAATGTGGCCAAAAAAGAACCTATTAATTTTGTGCAGGAACACTAACCATCCTGTGCAATTGAGATTGGAATTAAACACAACTGGGTTTTTTTCACAAATCATAATGGATTGCAGTATTTCATTCTTTTTGTTTGCAATACACAAGTATGGTGATTCTTTTATAAAAATCAGCTATATACAGATAAATATGTAAATGATATAATTCTTTGACGTTCCCTGTTTTAAACCAAATACACACTCGGTTTTTATACAAAAAATAACAGAAAGTCAGTTTGATAACAGAACAAAAGGCCTACATAAAATAAAATATTGCATAACAAAATTGCAATGAGATGAGATACCTCATTTACCAAAAACAAATTTGCGCAGAAAGGGAACCACTGTTTCATTGTTAACAGCGAGCATTTGCATTTTCTGTTTTCTTTTCAGAGATGGAAAAATAACAACTGCGATTGGTGACGGATACAACCCAGTCCCAGAAGAACCAGCAAAGCTTGCCATTAAGTTTTCTCCAGGTAAATAGTCAGCTTTATTTTTCGAGGATTTAAAAAAATAAGATATAAGAGTAAAGTTCCATTGTGTAAACATACATTCTAGATATACAACACAACTAAATTGAAAAATCTAAAATAACAAATAATTAAATCTAGTTTATTGAAGAAGAACTTGAAAACTTTGGTTTTAGAGAACGTAACTCGTACGTTGAAGGGCATTTTTAGTCAGTGTTAAACGATCTTTTAAAAACAAGATGAAATATTACACGAGATCTTCGGCAACTCAATTTCTAACGAGTGTCAATCAGCTTTACGGGTGCTATATATTGACTTATACCGCACACCTAGTTTAACTCAATTACTTTATAAGAAGCATGATTTTTTTTTGCCTATTGAATTTGATGAACTGTTGTTAGTATTTTCTTTTGTTTATTGGCATTATTTTTCTATTTTAAGGCAACATAAGTTTTTCTTTGTTTTCTATTTAGCTTTGTATTTTACATTTTCACATTTTGTTTACCAGTAGACCTTGAGTTGAACTTATTTGAGACATAAACACATGATGAAATAAGAATGTTCTCTCGATTCCTGTCCTTTAACATTTTCTAACAGTGTTGGTTTCTATTATTACAGTTGCTCCTTACGGTAAATACTGGGTACTGGATACCGACTACACATCATACTCCTTGGTTTACTCATGCACAGATTTATTTTCTGTTACGCATGTCGAGTTCGCCTGGATACTGTCTAGACAAAGAACACTGGATGCAGCCATATCATCTCGACTTTTTAATATTATGAAATCTTATAATATTGAAACTAGCAACTTCTCGTCTGAAAACCAAACAGACTGCAAAAATTAATTAACATTAATGCAACGTATATTTGAAAAATTGTCAGTTTATACCATGGCGTTGTCAGTTTGTTTTCGATCTATGAGTTTACTGTCCCTCTGGTATCTTTCGTCCTTCTTTTATAGTAGAATTATTCTTTTTTTTTTTTCAATGATTGATTGACATTAACTATAAAGGTTTATCTAAACAAATGTATATTATGTTTCTCACGTTTAAATAATCGTGACATACTTGGTGAATTATATTTAAAGAAACACGTAATGATCAAATATATAAAATAAATGTAAAAACAAACTATAATAATAACTGGTATTTTGTTTGTATTTTCTTTCTATTAACTGTCATTAAGTAGGATGAGTTTACTTATGTGTAGCTGAGTGGTTGTTTAAGAATGTCACCATGAGAAAAAGGTTTGTTCTCACAAAACCTGTTTAACCCGCCGCATTTTTTGCGCGTGTTTCAAGTCAGGAATTTCCGTGTTCCTTCATTTGTTTCCATGTTTATTGTGACGTCCGTATTTCTCTCAACTTGTATACATTACTGTTTAGGAACCAACTGAAGCCCGCCTCCGGATGTGAGATTTTCGCGGGTTATTTTCGAAGGGTGTTTATTTTCGCTTATTTTATCGGATAAGGGCAAATCGCGATATTAAAGTTCGCGAAAAAAGTGTGTATTGGTTAGGTACTTTCTAATAGCTAACTTGTTTTGTAAACTATATATTTTTTCCGTTCGTGGGAACAATAATGGTTAATGTTAATTTAAACAACATAAATGCAAAAGGCCATAGTTCACTGGCTGTTAGGTGTTAATTAGTTAATTGGTTACATAATAAGGGTCTCACTAATCAGCGAAAAGAAGCGTAAAGAAGCGACAAGAAGCATGCAGTCAGTTTATTATATATTAGACAAAGAAAGTGTAAAAAAAAATATAAGATGAATATATAAATGTTCTAATTAATATCATAATATGACCGGAAAACGTTATATTTGCTGTATTACACATATGATACATAAATGACGTTTTTTATGTAGCAATTAGATCTAGGTTTCAAAAATGTGTGATGCTTTATAACTTTAGATATTGACTCTATAAATTGATATTCCCTTTCTTGTCGCTAAATTTGTTTTCTTGTCGCTAAAAAGTCTTCTTGTCGCTTCTTGTCGCTAAATAATTCTTCTTGTCGCTTTTTGTCGCTTCTTGTCGCTACAATTGTTCTTGTCGCTAATTAGTGAGACCGCATAATAAAAGAATTAAAATTATATGAGTGTAAGGTACTTTGTCAGGTATTCAATCCTTATTAATTAGTTTTATAAGAGTTGCAAGTCAATAAATTCGACGGTTCGTTTACTGTGATGTATTCGGTCTTGTACACACATTAACTACATCGCATATGATTCTTTAATACACAATCGCCAGAAGTAGGGGAGGGAAACAGTTAAATTCTGTGAAAATCACCTTCGCCCCAAAAGGTTTGTTCTCACAAAACATGTTTAACCCCGCCACATTTTTGCGCGTGTTCCAAGTCGGGAATATTTGGCCTGTGTAAGTGTTTTCCTTTTTTTTCACTTTTTGTTCATTCATTTGTTTCCAAGTTTATTGTGACGTCTATTTTTTCCGCCAAACATGTACACATTACTGTTTAGGGGCCAACTAAAGCCCGTCTCCGGATGTGAGATTTTTTCGCTGTGTTAAAGATCCATTGATGGTTTGTGCCGCTTTCTGTTCTTTGTTCGGTTGACACATTCACCGTTTCTATTCTAATTTGATTTGTTCTAATTGCTTTCGATTTTTGTCTTCGTTCAAAGACATGAATCGAAGGTAGAGAATACTACCAGAAACCCCCTTTGATCCGGCATTAAACTAGAGTAACACAAAAAACTACAAGCAAGTGAAAAAGAGTTTTCTACGTGTCCAATTATCATATATTGATGGTTTTACAAAAAACGGTCGTTCCCAACTGAATCTCTAAAAAAAACTAAAATTAAGACAAAATGTAAAACAAATTGTAGGTCTTCTACGAATAAAAAAAGAAATATTTTCAAAAAGAACGAGAAATATTATTTTTACGACAAAAGACATGCTTTCACTTTTCCTTTTGTTAACTTTCAATACTTCAGCAGAAAAGCAACGTCTGCTGTATGATTTGGTATACCATTATGGAAAACATATGTCAGGTACATCACAATGAAATGAGTGGCCGAATGTATACACGACTGTTTCCATATGTATCTACATGGTCAACTTATATGTCTGAGTTTGTGATGAAGTTTAAGTTTCTCTGTCTTTGAATTACTGTATAGTGTTTTAAGACAGCTATTTGTCATGCAGTTTATTTTTTACTTGATACAATTTTTAAACATATTTATAGAGTAACACAACGGGTGTTAAATATTTAAAAAGATAGGTGTGTCCTTCCAAAGCATTTGAGATCATAACAGCTTCCTAATTCTAATCTTTTCATTTCTGTGAACTATCATTCAAGCAACACCTGGGTAGGGTGTATTTATCTACCTGTTGATACAATATACAAGAGTTTACAATTTCTTTTCTGTTTTTCTTGATAGACTGTTGCTAACTCATAGGAAGTTTTTAATCCAAGTGTTTCAAATGGTTAAGTTGAATTTATTGCTTTGAAAATATCATGACCGCCATCTCGAGCTAGTTCATCGTAAATGCATATCTAATTTTAGTGTCTGATGCATGATTTGTTTGTGTTATTAATTGTTTTTGGCTTTTAACTAGCTTTCAGTAACTGCGAGTACACCCGAATCGTACTTTCGTGTTAATTTGACCTATTGCCGAAATTTGTAAAAAGTAAACTCCGAGGAAAATTTCAAAAAAAAGTCCCTAATCAAATTAAAAATCAAAAGCTCAAACACATTAAACGAATGGATAACAACTGTCATATTCCTGACTTGGTACAGGCATTTTCTTATGTAGAAAATGGTGGATTGGACATGGTTTTATAGCTAGTTAAACCTTTCACTTGTATGACAGTCGCATCAAATTCCATTATATTGACAACTAAACATTACCAAAACAAACAGATATAATAGGCAAAAATGTCAAAAATACAGCAGGGAACATTGTACTTCTGTAATTCAATAGATATAAGAAGATATGGTATGAGTTCCAATGAGACAACTTTCCATCTACATCATAATTTATAAAAAGTAAACCATTATAGGTCAATGTTAGGTCTTCAACAAGGAGCCTTGGCTCACACCGAACAGCAAGCTATTAGGGGCCTCAAAAATGACTAGTGTAAAACCATACAAACGGGATAATTAATGGTCTGATCTATATAACAAAACAAGAAACGAGAAACATTAATAAACCACATCAACAAAAGACAACTATTGAGCATCAGATTCCTGACTTAGGACAGGTGCAAACAAATACAGCGGGTTAAAACGTTTTAATAGGTACAATAGTGTAACATTTCACACTTTAAAATATCAATTGAAATGATTTAACTCAATCAAAAGACATATAAACACAAGTGAACATACACTGAACGAATAAACATGATTGATGATACAATGTAAATACAAAATCGATAAAATAAGGGTGAAAAAAAAAGGTAACAATAGTATTTCGCTGTGAGATATTAAACAATTTCGAAAAACAACATTAACCTTGAAAAAAGCCACCAAATACAAAATAATACACCGGTAAATGAAAATAATTTTGTTATAAGGTATACCGTTTAAATGGAGAGATATTTTTTTTATGAAATAGATGTTTACTTATTTTGGTTTATATCTCGTCTCAATGTTTCTAGTATGTAACATCTTTGTATTTGGCTACACGACAAATATTTGATTCTGTTCTCCCTTTGAATGATAAACAACACATGTATTACATAGTTTTTTTTTAATCTATACTAATAAGATAAACATTATTATATTTAAATTTACCTGTCCTAAGTCAAGAGCTTGTTTCTCAGTGGTTGTCGTTTGTTTCTTTTGTTCATAAGTGTTTCTCGTTTTTCGTTTTATATTAATGTCCTCTTGTAAATGTGTTAATGTAAGCGAGCGTTAAATGAGAATCCATTTAGTCAGTGGTTAAAAGGCGTATTGGTTTGATGTCATACGCTTACGTTTCAAGCAAACTTCAATCTTCATTTTATATTCAAAGCAAACGCTGGTTTGTTTTTTTGCTGTTTTTTTTTTTTGCCATAACTTTCTGATACAAATGATAAATTGACTAATTCCTGTTGTTAAATTTAACGTATTCAACGCTTGGATATATAACCACAATTAATTGATTGTATTGTTTTTATCTGAATCTGCAAGAAACACGTGGTAACATTAATTCAGATTCTTCGTTACTTATCTATGAAAATGGAATTGTATACATATATCCATGTGTTTATTGTCAGTAAAATATAAGTTATGGTGTCTCCTTATTATATAATTAGATAAAGGTTTATCAAACTAAAATCTTAAGTATTTAAACTAACCGTTGTTGAAGGATTCCATTCTACTAATTATCAACGTATCGATGCGTTCTGAATTGATATAATTAACATGAAACATCTAATCAACACATCTTTAATTTACAAGCGTCAGTGCGTAATAAAACGTGACGTTTAGTTAGTTTCAAAATGGCGAAAATTAAACGAGGTCGCTTAACTATTTCAGCAAATATTGTTCTGACAGCTTCTGTAATTACCAGGGTAAGTCAATAAATGTATAAAGTTAATAAGGTCATCAAAGAAGATAATGAGTATCACTGAAAAGACAGCTCATGTCAAAATGTGCATGTAATGTTTTTTTATAAAGATGTAGAACTGCATTATACATGTTTCTATACGAAACTATTTATACTTTTGAAATTCGTTTTTTATTGACAATAAACGTTGAATAGAAATATTTTTAATGTACTGTTTAACAAAAAAGTTATTTGTTTTTAATCACGTTGAGATTACTATCAATTTAAAGACCATACGACATATTACAGATTACAGGTCACAGGAGGGTCTTCAACAATGAGAAAACCCCTTACCATATGCAAAGCTAGATAATGCCCTTTCATCCTTTTCATCAATATATCTTTCAAAACAAAATGTGTTTTTTTCTATATATAATGCAGTTAATATCCCATTTACTTTTGAGGATCGGAACATTTATAAATAAGGTACATCAGAAAAGGCGCATTGTATGCAAGAAATAAGAATATAAGTATATGTCTATCAATAGTAAATGGGATCTGCGCAAAAAATCAACATTGCATAATGATGAATTGCCATCTGAAAATTTTATCGACAACAAATAGATTATCATAATGTATCATTAGGTATTGGTACAGAGGAAGCAGATCGAGCAGTTAGTGTGTTTTATACCATACTTTTAACTAATTATTTGAATAACTGTATACATACTTGACATACATTTAATCTTTTAGGGTTATGCCGAGGAACAATAATGTTAAAGTAAGCAAAATGTACTGCCACAAAAGTACGCTTACGAACAATTTTCTCTAATTTCCACTAAAAGATGTCTTTGTTTATAATAACTCTTTTGGTTTTTCTTCATTTACAGTAAGTGTTCTCGTTTTATACTATTAGTTTCTTATGGTAAGAACTGCTAAAATGGTCATGAAGTATCTTTGTGGAACACATGTCACTACATAATTATTGACACCAGAAGTCGCATATTTACTGTATACAATATTGCATATATTCTTTGCATTTTAACCAATTCAAACGCATACAATATGCAGACATGTCATGATTAACAATTTATAGATTTAGGCTTTTTTTTCAGACTCTGTCCCTTGGTTTTATAATGATGGCAATCTACATTAAGTTTGGCGACGACATCTTGGATACTGATGTCATTAAAGTTGTGGATATGCAAGACGTAGCTGGAATGCCTCTTGGGACAACAGTAAAATCAATTGTATTATCTCTGAATGGGGTTTTGGGGCTTGAACTTCTAACAGGAATATTTGGTATATGGGGAGTTATCGGAAAGAGAAAGCCCATCCTACTGATTGTAAGTATTACTCTATTTATCGTATGATTACACTACTAACAAATCTATTTGAGTATCTTTAATGATAATTTATTAATTTATTTGAATGGAGCGAAATTATAGTCGTGAAAACGTAAAATGTGTAATAAAACACACATTACTTGATAATATAGCTTATATTACACTCCTTGGTAACGACTTGTAAAACTTATGCATTTAATCGTATTAATTCGCACCAAATATGACGTTCTTAGATACATGTACTAGTATTCAGAAATATATGACTTTTTTAGTGCTGAAGCAGAAAATATATTGTACCAAATAGTTTCATTTTTTTAAATACTGGTAACCGAATACCTGCATGAATTTAGTATAACAATCCTAAGCAAATACTTGTAAGCCATCAGGAAAAATCATTAATTAAAACCAGAGATAGAACTTAGGAATATTATTAGGTGTAATACTTGTGTTTTCACATACAGGTAACAAAACAATTCACTTGTTTTTTTTTTGAGATATTCAATAATAATCATATAAATGACCTCGTGAAATTTTATGATACGTTCTTTTTTGTCATTTGATTAGGGACTTTTCGTTTTGAATTTTCCCCGGAGTTCAGTATTTTTGTGATTTCACTTACACAATATGAAATCCGAAAGATTTCCAAGAAAATGCATTTAATCAAACTCTTCACAAAAAAATAGATCAATTGTCTTTTCGTTTATTGTAGACCGTATTGATGAGCTCGTTGATGATCATAATATACAGTGTATATTTAGTTATCCTTTCAATCGTATACGAAGAGGTGAGTAACTCAACTATACATATTTAGAATTTCACAAGTATCCAATAAAACGATTTGCAATTACCAAAATTAAGAGAATATTCAACTACGAGAACCCTTGTTGTTTCTAAATCCTTACCTGCAAACACAGGAATTGTATTGAGGATTGTTGTACGTGTTATTTTACAATTTTAAATCAACAATTGTTGCCGCCAACAAGTAAGTTATTGAACCAAACATTTCGAAAGCAAAGTCACCATAAGAAAGTATATCCAAAAGACATTAATTGTAAGTATATGGTGTTCAAGCTAGGCAAGAGTCTAATATGATACAGGAGGCCTCGGTGGCCGAGTGGTCTAAGTAAATACTACTGTCTCAACTAGCTAGCCAACACTGAGGTTGTAAGTTCGAACACCGCTCGTTCGGGTGCACTCGACTACAATCTTAATTGACTAGGATTGTCAGTTTTCCTATCGAATGTTGGTGATTTTTTCCGGGCACTCCGGCTTCCTCTACCTAAAGAGACTGGCAGCCACGAAATAGCCCAAAAGCGGTGCTTTAAAGTGTCGTTAAAACACACAAATAAATAAAAATATAAGATACATTGATAGACAACTGGGTATACAAATCAGAAGACGCTTAATCTGTCAACACAACCGATATAACCCCGTTTTATGCTTAACTGATTATCCCGGTCTTTTCTTCGTTCACATCTTGATAATAGATTCACGAATGCATACTGACTGACTTTTTTTCCAATATTTTTTTTTCTTCTTAATTTATAATTGTAGAAGTCATGCTTCAGAGAGACCTTATTCACCTATACCAGAGCTTATGAACATGGTTCAAGTTATATTTCACATTCATACTTCTATGACACATTTCCACATTTTCTGTCCAAGGTACGTGTCCTAATTTGTTAATGCATGAGAGATCAATCATTTTCTTGAAATCATCATAGAAAGATGAATCTCGATTTATTTATCCCAAATGAGAGATCGGATGTCACTGAATATGAACTCTATGACTTTGTTTTGTAAGAAAACCTACAATTAGTTTCATTTTTTGATTTTACCAGAATCTCATACATAGTCTTTATTTATATCATTTGACAAGGATGAGATTTTGCCGAATCATAAGTCCTACATGGCTTCAATGAACATTACTTTGAACAACAAATCGGAGGACTTACCTTGTTTGTATTGGATACCTAAGCTTCACAAAATTCCTTACAAACAACGGTACATTTCCGGCTCATCTGCATGTTCCACAAAAGAATTGTCCATTAGATTGACAAAATTTCTGTCCGCAGTGAAAAAAGTGTCTTCAGAAATACTGTGAAACTGTTTACTCGCGTAGTGGTATTAACTATATGTGGATTCTTAAAAAATTCTAAAGAACTTCTGGATTATTTTAAATTTTGGTCTTTTTCTGAAATTAGTTCTTTCAAAACGTTTGATTTTTGAACCCTGTATACCACCATTCCCTATGTGAAATTGAAAAATCGCCTAACAGAAATAATCCACAATGCCTTTCAACATAAAAATGGTAGCATACGGTAGAAATTTATTACTTTGGGATACCATAAGGCATATTTTGTTAATAGTGAACAAAAGGGTAAAACATGCTACACAGAGGAACAAGTGATCAGTATGCTTATCGACATATGTTATACTAACATAACATTCATATTGGATTTATGAGTACGAAACAAAAGATAACTCAAAATTTTTTCAGAAAAATCAGGAATAAAATAATCTAAAACCAAATCCAATCCTTCTAAATTTTAATCACAATGCGCCTCAAAATACAAAATTTCAATCCTTGTATCTATGATGATTTTATTTTAGCTATTCAAATAATTTTAGTATATAAAATATGAAAAATTGTTCGTGACAATGCTGAACTAATACACATTTTTCGTGTAATAAAAGTAATTTCATATTTTATGCATACAGCTGGGATGTGAAGGAAGAGGACAGTCTGGTATATATTACTGCTATGAAATCTTTAATGACCAACTGACTAGTTACTTGCAGATATATTTTGGTTTGATTGTAACGTGTATTGTTTGCCAGGTGAATAACACGAGTTTAAAATATTTACTGCTTTGAAGTGAAGTGTCCTTAATCTTTTACGAAACAATTATGTTCACAAATAATGTTTCAGAACTTGTAAATGTTGTAATGTCCTATTATATTATTTATTTATGCGTTTGTATGTGCTGAGTATTCTTGCGTTTGTTTGTACTGTATTCCTGCCACGTTGTTGTGTCATTTTAACGATACATTTTTAACTTTGTCATATAGGCGGGATAATTGTCTAGTCATAAAACCAGGTTCAACCTGACGTTTTTAGCTCACCTGGCCCAATGGGCCAAGTGAGCTTTTCTCATCACTTTGCGTCCGTCGTCCGTCATCGTCCGTCATCAGACAACCTGTTGATGGGTTGCTGTCTCAGAATTGGTAATTTTATAGACATTTTACAGTTTTTGGTTATTATCTTGAATATTATAATAGATAGAGGTAAACTGTAAACAGCAAAATTGTTCAGCAAAGTAAGATCTACAAAAAAGACAAACATGACCAAAATGGTCAATTGAACCTTTTATGAGTTATTGTCCTTCATAGTCTATTTTTTTTGACAAATTTTTGACAATTTTTGTAATCTTTTACACAAATCTTCTCCTCTGAAACTACTGAGACAAATTTAACCAAACTTGGCCACAATCATCATTAAGGTATATAGCTAAAAAAAATGTGTCAGACAACCCTGTCTACCAACCATCAGGGCTGACATCGCTAAAAGTAGAATATAGGGGTAAAAAGCAAGTTTTGTCTAATATTTTTTGAACCGTTATAAATCTGAAAGGAAAAATATGTTCAGATTAATGAGCTCTGCCTATTGTCCACATATTCGTCAAAACTGTTAGACAAATTCGTATAGGAGTTATTGCACATGAATGACAAATTCAAGATTTTTTTTTTCATTTTCGCCTTTAAACATGAAAACTTTGATATTTAGAGAAAAACATTTTTTTTTCTGTTATGCCTCATTATGATAGATAAATAAACACTCTTAATCACAAAAATTATCAGCAAGGAAATCTATTAATAAGCCAACGAAACTAAACAGACTAAAAGATCAGTAATACAAGATCAACAAAATAGAGATTTTTGTCATGGTCTATTCTCGTCTATAATTTTGGAGAGTGTGCTTTGTTTGATATTCCCATAGACAACGAAGGTGATCGACACAGGCTCTTGAGAGCTTCTACGTTTTCTAAAACGTCCTGAACCATGTCAGCAGGTTTTAATCAAATAGTCTGTTTTTATGTATGTTGGTATGTTTGTTTTTGTTACTCTTCAGTGTTTCTGTTGTTCCGTTGTTTTCCTCTTATACATGTAGTTGATGTGTTTTCCTTGGTTTTAGTTTATAACACGGATTTGTTTTAGAATTGATTGAAGATTGCATTATTTCTGATTTTTTTTTAGTTTATAAAAAGTTGTATTTATTAACTTGTAATTTAAGCTTCAACCTTTGTATCAAAATTTGTCCTCGACAAATATTTTTAACAAACATAATATTCGATTCTTTTTAATCATATTATTGTGCACCCTTTTGTTCCTAAACATAAATATTTTTTTTTTAGGCTGTAATGACAGTTGCTGCAGAATACACGTACAGGAAAATTGAATTCAAAGAAAAGAAAGCGAGCATTACAGACAACAAATACTACTTACTGCTGACAATAAAACATGGAATTTTTAGAAATGTCTTCAATTTTGCCAAGGATAACTGGAGAAGGTAAAATAAAATTTCAAAAATGTACCTAACGAATATTAGTGTAAATAAAGGTTTAACTATATTCGTTATAAATTTCTAAAAATACAATTTCGATGTGTAAACATAGCAATGTTCTTTTCTCACAGAACACAAGTTCCCTCATGCTTAACATGACTGTCGTTAACATTTAAAAAAAGAGAAAACTACAAATAAGAACGAATACAGGGTAACATTCATTTATTAAATGGCAAAATCAAAAGCTCATACCTATCAAACCAATGGAAAATAACTGTCATATTCCTTTCTTGGTACAGGCATTTCATTATGTAGAACATTTTGGATTAAACCTGGTTTGAAAGCTAGGTAAACTTTTCATGTATAAGACGGTTGCAATCAGTTCTATTATATTGACTTCAATCTTTGAGCAAAATTAACAGACGTAAAAGTAAAAGGTAAAATCGTTCATAATTGGAGTACAACTGTTAACATTGTCACCATATTCTTAATCACTTTAAAAACGAAAATATATTTCAACAAAGAAAAACAAAATGTTATATAGACTCTCTATAGACAAAGTGTTTAAGCGAAAATAAAAAAATTAGAGTAACTAGATGACCATAGAACACAATGGTGAGATGAATAAATACCGAGGCACGACAAAAGAATATTATTAAAATCAAAGGACTAAATAGTTAAGACAAATACAAAGATATTATAACACGTAACCAAGATGACAGCATGAGTCAGTATCTATAATCTATACTTCCAGACCATATTGGTGAAGTTGATACGGAATATTTTTAAACAAGGCCTTGGAATCTTCCAATAAACTTCTAGAAAAAGAACGAGAGGTTCTTTGACCTAACATTAGTTCAACAACTTTCTGCTCGGACACTTGTGACGTTCTGTAAAAAAAGAGCATAGGTGCATGCTCTTGGAAGTTGGGAAATGCAACGTCAGTTCTCCTTTCGCAAACATAGCTAAAGTAGCTGCGATTTAAATTGAAGTGTGATTTAATTCTTAATGCAACGTCTGTTTCTAGTATTCTTAATATTGAAATAGATATTAATTAGTTTTTTAGTGTTTTTTTTTTCCACGTCATATCAAAAAAGCTGCCTGTCTTATAGGCCTGCTTTAAAGTACTAAATTTGTAAATGTTCTTAGTAGAATTGAAATAATTCAACGACGCTCTGTAAAAAGATATTAACAAATAAAATGCATACCCATGTAAAAACAAGCATAAGACATGGCATGGCAGAATTATTTCTGAAACAAAAAACAAAAAAAACAAGACAAATAAGAAATTGAATCTTCAACGTGAGGTTAAGTGATAGTTCTATTATCTCTTAATTTTCTTGTTGTTAATTTGTAAACAAATTGAGAAACAGTTTGTATTTCTTAACAAGACTTAAGAACAATCGCATGAAAAGCCTATAGCTGAAATGATGAAATGAAATATTCGTACTCTGCTCGAAAATAAAATCAACTATTGAACTAGAATGATACATTTTCAGTGACAGAAATAACCTTAAATTGCATAATATATGAGAATCTTTATGTTTACCCAAAAAGACCAGCAACATTCATAAATAATAATACATGTACAGTTGGATGCAGACCAAGCATTACATAAAGTTAACGCACGTTAACGCCGCGTGCACATATTTCGATAGTTAACATCAATTTTCGCGTTTACTAGAAAACGTGCGTTTATTATAATTACGTTAACGCTGTCAAATGGAAATTTCTTATGTCTACCCGAGTAAACGCGTGTTTACTCTATGTCCGTTTAGTCAGTAGTAAACGGGCATTTACTTCAGATTTCTCAAGTTTAGTTTTACGTGCACTTTAAAGTAAACGGGCGCTTACTACAGATTTCACAAGTATATTTTTACGTGCACTTGAAAGTAAATGCGCGTTTACTTTTAACGTTAAATGATTGTGTTAATTATAAAATAAACGTTGCGTACATTTGTAAAAAAAAAATATTTTGTTAAAACGACTTTTATTTTAATATTTTACGTGTATGTGTTTAAAACGGAAACAATTCAAAAACACTTTTAATTCAAATATTTACTTTTATTAATTGCAAAAAATCAGGTCCAATTACTTTAATTAGCGGATTTTCTATATTTTCTTTTCAAAAGTTACACGCACAAATATCGACTCACAAACATATTCCCACTCTGACGGTAACGTTGTAGAAATGCATTAAAACCCTTTCTAGAAACTTAAACATTATCTGATCGTAATAACAATTCAAGTATAAATATCCATTTTGTACTTATATACTATGATTAATTTTCAATTAACTACAGCGGTGAAATATCATGATATGTCAATATGTCGTTCAAAAATGGACAGTTGGTCATTTTAATGTACCTTATCATGTGATATGTTAGGTCAGTGTATCCAGGATACGATGACAATCTGTGTAAACGCACGTTTACTACAAACAGTGAAAGTGCGTTTACTTTTTACAAAATATAAGACGCGCCTTTTTCTATGTTAACGTGGCAGTAAACGCGAAAGTAAACGCATGTGTACTCTTCACAAAATTAGAAGACGCGCCATTTCCGCGTTAACGGTCAGGTAATTGCGAAAGTAAACGCCCGTTTACGTTTGATGTCTACTGAAATTTCAAAGTTAACGCGGGGTTTACATGAAGTGCACGCGAGTAAACGCCACGTAAAATCTTTCCGCCCGTCTACATGTAATGCTTGGTCTGCACCCAACTGTATATTTACATATAAATCTGTTATAGGTCCAGGTCTGTTTTCATCTCCGTCATCTTGAAGATCAGTTCACTGGTAAGTTTATATATTGATGTATGTCAATCGTTAGTCTTTTGTGGAATGTTTTGCAAACCGTTGTTTTTTCATCATTTTGTAAATTTTGTCTTCACAACATATCAGGAGATGTGTTGTGATTGTCAATAAAACGTACATTTAGTTATTCGTTTCGTATCGGCACAATAATCTGTTCATTCATCAACAAAACTTTTATATATATTTAGCGTAAACAATATTTTGTTATGAACTTACGAATTACAATATATATTCACATTCACTAATAGGATTCAGAAACCAGCAACAAGTGCTTATGTTAATCTGTCTCCTTGTTAAATTGGATACCATTTACTTATATTAATAAAAAAAGAAACATGTCCTGTTTCAAAATAAAATTATTGATAATGTTAGTTGAGTTTTATAATACATTGAAATAGAAAAAAACCCAGAAAAGTGTTACTAATCTGATGAAATGCCTACAAGTATATTATGTGAATCATAAGAAGTAAACTGATGTGTTTTTTTTTTTTATAATGAAGGCATGACCACAATTTAATATAACAACGCAGCATTCTGTTTTAATTTTTAGATAGTTGGAGGCGGCCTTCTTGGATTAGGACTTACTTTAATAGGAGATGAATTTATCCATGATAGTTCCCTCAAATATTTATTTTACCAGATACAGTTTTACAATTACTATTTCTATGATATACTAGTTGGGGTGGCTGCTTCCTCGGTAGTAATTGGTATAATGACGATGGTTATCGCCATCTTTGGATTAGTTGGGTCATGGAAAAAATCATCACGAATACTCATCATGGTAGGTATCAAAGTAATTAATAAATTTAGTCAAATAGATTCTTAACACTTGTCTTGATAGAAAGAAAACATGTCTTGTGTACTTCTGTTATATGACTGATCTTAACTTTTTTCTCCTGTTTCTCAATGTGTTTTTATTCATTTACATGTTTGTGTACTGTTCCTTTGACTTACGGGTAGCTGGTGTAGATAATTCTAGTCAAATTAGCCTACATGATAAAAACGTAACAGTTATCACATTATATCAAACAAAGCTCGTGCAGTCGCAAATAGAGCTAACCTACCAAGGTTTTTTGTTCATGTTTACGAGGAAAGAATAATACATTGAAAACATATTTAAGGTGGCAGTAACGCCCTTGATAAATTCGTATATATTAAGTTAATGCATATCGTGAATTCGTTTTTATACCTGTTTTAAAATTTTCAAAGTTTATTTTAAAACATACAATATATTATTAAAACGCAAAATTACCAATGTTGCATAAATATATATATATATCATTAGGCTTTTTTTAAACAAAACAAAACATTCAGAAATTGTTTACTTGTATTCTCTCATTTACTTGGTTTTATTTGTTTTCAATTATTACAATCTCCGTTTTACGGAGGTCACGCTTTAAATGCAATACATTTATCTCAACAATATAATAATTATGCTAAAGAGACAAGTGTGTTGGAAACAAATTTGACCAGCTTCTGGGTACCTACAAGGGTATGATTTTTAATTGTTAATGGACCAGGTATAGTATATCAAAATGTAATTTTACTTTTAACTTTACGTAGCTTATAAAACAATTATGACAGGTTTATAAATTATAATGATAACTTACCAGTTGAGATTGTTTACCTAGTGACGCGTAGTCTGACATAAAATTAAATTCAGTTTTATAAAAAAAAATGCCTGGATTAAACTACAATGCATCTCCATTATTATGCCACATATTAAAATACATATAATTTTTGTCAGTAAATATTCTAAGATAAACATGCCATCAACGAAAAAGTCCACAAAACTGTTATATCGTCTTTGGTATCCAAACAATGTAACGTCATAGGTATCCTGTCGATTTCAAACATAAACACTAGACGTACTTATACTTTTCGTACGCTTCTGAACGGTTTGAGTATTGACAAAAAGGGATTTTTTTATTTTTTGAGAATTTACATACTCCAAAAATTCTGAATTCACAAAAGTGGGTGTCCTCAGCTGCGGACTGGTAAAACGTGGTATCTGAATTTCCAGAATATTTGTCAATGTACAATGACTTAATCGTTCTAAACAGATTGAACTATAATTTCTTATTGACAGATGTACACTGCCTTCAGATTTAGTCAGTTACAGCAGATAAAGCCATCGCGGAAACCAGCCTTATACTTTGGTTGTAATATGCGCTGTTCGTCTATAAAAGACTCATTAGTGACGATCGGATATAAACATTATCAAATAGAAGAAAAGTTGAATAGCATTGAGGACCAAAAATTCCCAAAATATTGCAAAATACAGCTTTGACTTGAATGATTGATTTTATCTTTACAGAGTTCAGTTCTTTCGATAATTTTGCACGTGCCAAGGATAGTTACTGTCATATTGTGTTTGGTGTTCGTGGAAAAGGTAGGCATACATATCTACAAGCGAAAATGTAAGACGACCGTCGAACAACAGTTAACATAACTACACATAGAAAACGATAGATCAACGGCACAAAATCTTTGTTTTACCTAATTGAAATAACGTTATACGAAAGGAGAAGGAGTATAAAGTTACGAAATGTAGCTTAAATTTAGGACATTAATAAGATTTAATAATGATTAGCCGATTTTCAAATATGTTGGCATCGAGCAACACTGATGAGACATTCAATGCACATTTTTTGTAGTAAAATTGATACAGTAAATGAAAATACTAATACACGGTCGATACCTCTGCTGATGAACTATTGCAGTATGTATCACAAACCCCGCAGCAAGTACTCCTCTCCTGGCATGAATTATGGATATTGCATTATTAAAATTTGCTGATACATTATTTTCGAAAATGTTTTAAGTTAGAGAATAGATATCCCTTATGCAAATCTCGGTCTAGTTCCTTGCCCGGCTTTGTGTATTTTTTTAAATCTTTTTACGTTAATAGTTTATACATTTTCATTATTTTTAAGAATTTATAAAATATTACGCCCTCGAGCATCACTGAAAATACATTCATTGCTTTGAGCGTTCCAGTTAAGGTTAATTATAGAAAATTGCTTTAAACGTATGAATCATAAAGTGGTATTTTCATTTTCGAAGCACTTGGTCGATCCTGCTGATATAGTCAATAATGGAGGGTATCATTAGTTTAAATAAAACCGAAACAGTTGCAGAGTTATATGACTTCCAACGACACCTAAATAATTGCATAATCTTCTAATCCAAAAAATGAAACCATCAATTATTTTGGTTATTTAGAACTTGACATATGGCATATTGACCTTTTAAGTTTATTTTTTCTTCTTCTCTGTAACACCCATGACTTCTTGAATTTACACTAAATTAGAAAAATAAAGGCAGTTTTCTTTCCAGATTAATGACAATATGAGAGTTCAACTTAACTTACAGCAGCAAGGTTATTTTTACAACAACGTTCAAAGTGAATTAACTCGGAAATGGAATGACATGATCTTGCAAGTACGATACTTTATATAACATGTATAAGGTTGATGTAAGCCTGTTTCCTGTAACCACTAACCTAGAATTGAGCAGCATTGTTTGGTTTAGATCAATCACTCTTGTGTTTTTCCTTCAATCAGTTCTGTTCGTAGTAATTAACATCATGCCATCTTCCTGCCTACCAACCCTTCAGTTTTGAGCTCCCGCGCGAGAGTTTGAATCTCTCGCTTTTGGATATATCAATCAGGAATGACCCGCGTTCGTAGTTCTCAGGCTTTTCCATTACTGCCAATCGGCAATCACTTTGGTTAGTAGTTTTAAAGTTCGATTGATAAAGAATCGAAATTCATTTCTGCTATGTCAACTCAAACAAGATAGAGCTCTTTGTCTGGACCAACTGACAGTGTAAAAAGAAGAAATAGATAACTGCAAATCGAAATGACAAGCAGACTGATTCAGTGATTGAAAGATTTTAATTTTTCAGTTCACTGACACTTGGCAATAAATCAGCATCTTGCACATCATGTACAATCAACTTTTTGGTTTCCTCTGGTGGTCTGCACAATGTTTAAAGCATGCTTTGTTTGAATTCAAAATAGGGCATGTTATTAGTTATGATACTCAGAGGAATTGAAAAGTAAAAAGAAAAACCTTGTATAGATTATAACCATGAATTGAAGAAATAAAGTATATTTATTTACTCTTATTTGTGTGTGAAGATGAATACGTAAACAGGTCATATATCTAACTTGAAAATGTCGTTTGCGCAAAATCTCTCTCTCAGCTGTCATAGCTCAGGGGAAGACCTCCCTCTTGGAAGGTTTCTGAGGTTTGCAGGTATTCATCATAATTGTACAGATCATGTTCAGTGAGTTTTATAAACATGAGATAAAGAACAGTAATACAAAAAAACGAACAACGCGGAAATTCAAAACGGAAAGTCCCTCGTCAAATTTGCACTTTGTAAGTGCTGTAAAGTTGCCATCACTGACAACTCTTTTATCCGCACAGTAACAAAGCAGCAATACAAAATCTATGTTAATCTAATTGTAAAACGGAATATAGTATTTATATTCTTACTTGTGGAACTTGCAAGCTGCACTTTTTTGCGAAAGAGAAACTTAATTCAGCATCAGACTTAATAATCATACCGGTCATTTTATACCAAAGGAATAAACTGCCCGATCACAAGATACCTCTTAAGAACATCTTTTGAAAATATCACCTTACAGATAATAGAGGTTATAAAACCAAAATTTGGACATCCAAAGTAGAAAACAGAGAGAGAGAGAGAGAGAGAGAGAGAGAGAGAGAGAGAGAGAGAGAGAGATTCTGGATGGATCAGCAACGTACTTTTGAACCTGATGAACTGAATGAGAGAGATGAAAAATAGTTTTATCCAAACCCGAAAGAATAAATCCTGACCTTCATACTACTATGTACTATTTAACTAACACAAATATTTGTTTTGATTAAAGAATCAAAATGTACAATAAGTTGCATAAAAATATTAAGAACATGTACATTTAACTGCAAACATTTCTTTACCTTTTCCAATTTTTTAACTTGATGGCTAACTGCAAGCAACTGACGAAGCTAATTCGTTTAGCGAAATATTGCGTGAATATATAAAATATAACAACTATCTTATAATACTCATTAGCAGATTAGAGTGTTAAAGTTTCATTATTAGGCATTTATATAATTTAATTTAGTAACTGCATCAGTTTATTTTCAAACGGCTCCACGCCTAGATAGTTTGAACTTTGACTTTTGCTATTTTTACACACTATATATATATATAATTCTTTTTTTTTAGTTAGAGTGCTGTGGAGTTTATAGTTCTTCTGACACCTTGTCACGATCACATGGCTACGCAGACATATTTTGCTGTAAAAATGCACATGAGAGTAGAACAGATTCTGGATGGGATTATTATTATCATTATCATTATCATCATTATTATGATTATTACAATCATTTAGATTATTTTGGTGGTTGTGGTGGATATAAAACTGATGTATGTGAGTCATAAGTGATATCGTTATATGTCTAACTTAAATTGTAAATATAAATTCAACCGAACATTAATCAGGTGATTTGTTTTGAAAGAACGCTTGTTACAGAAACATAACAATTGTTAACATATATGTTTAGTTTATCTGAAACAGTGACCAGAAACATAATCAAACCGAGTTTGAATTGTAATCACTTTAAATGTATATCTAACTTTCAAGGCACTTGACCTATAACTATACAACAATTAACATCATTTGGTTTAAGCTCAAGTTGTGGGACCTCATAAATAAATGATCGAGTATTCAATCAACGATGATGATTAATCCACATATTTTGCATTTTACAGAATAAATGGGTTTTTTTTCTGAATCTCTCAAATAAAATCATAAATACATAACCAAGATTGTATGTGTGTTTTTCTCAACTTGTATTTTCCTTTCAGACATGCAGTGAAAAAGTATTATTTAAAACCAGACAATGTTGTGGTTGGTTTCTAGCAATAGTTTTGCTGCAAATATTGCTTGAGGTATTTTAAAGGATTTAAAATGCCAAAGTTAACAGTTAACTTTGTCGACTTATATCAGCAATAAAGCAATGTATTAATGTTAAACTGTCAAAGAGGTGATTTAGTAAAAGAAATAGATATCATAGATTAAAAATAATCAAAGATGAAACATTACACCAGTAAAGTACTGTCGTACTGAACATGTTTTGCATGCACACACTTTGATATCAGTGATACATCCTTATTATAAGAATGATATTGTTAATTTGCATATAAAATCTTATTGGTCACATTTATCTGTTGTATTTTAACAGTGTAAAAGAAAATTCTAAAGTAAATTGATGGTTCAAATGGAATTAAAATTAACCTCTGAACGGACTCGCTGAAATGTGGATTATTGAATTAGATAACATCATGTATACATATGAAAGTGAAATCAGATAACTTGACAATATGGTTTTTGTTCTTGCCTTTGAGAACGTTTACATAAATTATATTACGTTGGTAGATATAAGAAGATGTGGTATGAGTGCCAATGAGACAACTGGGTAATTTTGACTTGGATGGAGAGTTGTCTCATTGGCACTCATACCACATCTTCTTATATCTATATACATTCCGTCTGCGAACAATTGTACTTTTTTTTTAAATATATCTTTCTGTAAAAGTTTTTTTTTTTTTTTAATTCTTATGTCTCGAGCGTACCTTTACCACACATACATGTCACCCACACAGTTGTATATACATGTATGCGTCAGTACTGAACCGAATACAACAAAAACAGAGCAAATCTCATGAACCAACAAAGAGCAAGACTAGGTGCATATACATATTACGCGTCTCGGTGTATGTATCGTGTTTATCTGCATTGTTGTCTTTTCCAGTTCATGCTTTAGGTGAACCAACAAACGATAGCATTTAAAGTTGCATTTATAATTAGATTAACACGATTTTGCATTTATTATGAATAAAATGTCGGATGCCTTAAAATTACTCTTGGTTGAATGCAGACTTCGCTTTAATAAATCTTTGGTTTAGTGTATTATGTCACTAGCAAACAGATTTAGTCTTGAACAGCATCTGAAAAGTATAAATATATACTGAACAGATATATTTGATTGTCAGCAAATTGTCTGAACAGTACTGAAATTTCCGCATTGGATATGCCAGACAATTGACTGAAAGACTGAACAAGACTACACAATATTCATTCTGTCTTATAAGATCTTTTCATAACAACATAAAATGTGCAGCTCACATTTGGTTTGATTGAACTTTGAAGTTAGTGTTATTGTGTTAAAAGTTCTAGCTTTACCAATGTTTTACTTAACCTATTTAATTCATAATTTCAAGCGGACTATGGGAATCTTTTCCTTTTTTCAACATTTGCAGAAAAAGAGCTTTATACGATTTTTAACAATATGCCGTTTTATAATCGTCAGTATAACTTGAATTTTGCAGATTGTAGGACTCATATTTACAAACAAAGAATATTCACAGATCAGATCATCGGATATAATCAATAATAGAATCCCAGGAGACTCACATAATGTACTTCATGCAAAGACAATAATTTTAAGAACAGTATTTCGAGGGATAAAGTCTTTCTTCATTAGTAACTGGAAAAGGTTGTAGTATAAAGTGTTTGATATAAGTGAGAACATTCACTATTTTTCCAATTTGCATTATTTTACAAAATGTTCATTATGAGAAAAGTCCTGATTTATCAAAATGCAACTTTAAATGTCACATATTGTTTTATATTTTTTACATCTCTTAATAAAAACAGTTGTTAACATCATTATTTGAGTAGAATAAAACACAAACATTTTCACGAAACAATATTTTTGTAAATAATTTGCAACTTATGACATTGACATTACAATACAGTATATATATATATATATATATATATATATTTATATCTGATTTGGTTTTTAATATAGATTTTCCCGAAATAAGATAGATTGTGTTTCATATAAATCAAGATATAGTTCACTTGTAATTTCATATTTCTTAATATCAGTTATATTGTCGACACAAGTTTAAAATATATTTTGATGGGTTTGGGAATGCTGTTCATTGTTTGAGAAAGATTCTTGTATTTTTTTAGAACATAAATAGTCAATTTAAAGCAGTCCAAGAACTGAATGATATCGCACTAAAATAATTAATGGATAAGCGAAGACAAATTGTTACATAAGTTTCCTGATTTGAAAAACTATTAGTTTAAGTGTGTTCCCTATCATTTAAACAATATGTTTTCTTTTTGTTGTGTTTACGCCAAAAAGAAGCATCCACTTTCTAAATAAGTCTTTATTCAAACTTTATTATCAATAGTTTACAATAAATTAAGGATTTGTTACCAAAAAGATATATATGCTTGGTTGTATTTGTAAGCAAATTTCGGAATTTCGGGTCATCAATTCTCTTCAACTTTATACATTAGGTGCCGTTGTTCCTGGATTTTTTTTTAAGCGTCACCGATGAGTGTTTTATAAAAAAAAATCACGCATGTCAGGAGTAGAGAATTTAATTTCTGGTAATTTGGATGAGTTTATTTGAACACACATGCAATTGTAACGTTATATCTGTATTAAAAAATAAAATATAAATTGTGACTTTGATGGAGAGTTGTCTCATTGGCACCCATACCAAATCTTCTTCTATCTATATAGTATCAATAGATGTAAATGGCTAAACATTAGATAAACAATCTACAACCAACAGTACAACACCCACTATGCCATGGCGATAAAGTATTGGTTAATTTTATTACATCATATAATATGCATTTTATTTTAAGATCGAAATCGTCAGTACTGCATTTCATCTTCCTTGGGATTTTGGCGGTAGGTATTTTTGTAAACTGAAATGCTAAGAAGGATCAAATTTTAACATTGTTTTTTTTTTTTTATTTCCTTAAAGCAGAACTATCGACTCTCTTGAGCACACTTAATGTTGCTCATTGTGATTGATCGCTCACTTATCTGTATATTTTTTGGAAAAGTACATATTTGAGGAAGTTACTTTTTCAAACATTTGGTTGTTTTCAATGATTCAAAGCAGCTAAAAAAATGATGCGAGTCATTAGTATCGCAGCTGAATGTCAACTTTGCAATTGTATCCTCAAATTTGAGTTATCTCCCATGATAAATGAATTGCTAAGTTTTATAAAAAATAAAGATGTATAGAATATTAATTCTGCGAATAACTGCACCAATTAGGATTCGTTTATTTTTGTGGATATCATTGTTTACGGCTAAAGAAAACTTTTCGTCGAAATTTCAAACAACCAACATTAAACAAGAAATTCGAAGAAAAAAAGTTTTTTTATTCAAAGTGAGAGTTATTCGGAAAAAAGCTGCCACATTATGTGTAAGTTTTGAAGTGTGTTTGTGCATTTTATTTAATTTTTAACAAACGTGCAGTTAATTCTGAAAGTTGTTTTCTTCGGGGATCTTATCTTAATGTTTTTCTAGATTTAGATTGTTAAATATTTATTTTCTTGTTATCTATCATAATGCATATGCATTTATTATTACAGGTGTGCAATATCGGAGCACTCGGATTAGCAATTAATGTTCGATACGATTCTGTGTTTGGAAACTCAGATATAGAGGCATTGCTGTCGAAGTTCAGAATAGCAGACCACACCTTTACCAGAGCACTCAACATGTTTTCTATCGTTGTTGTAACTTTTTCCACCACATCAATTGCTGTTATAATATTTACAGTTTTTTCCATTGATTCACTGAAATGGAAAAGAATGTTACTGCTTATTGTAAGTGCAAATATAGCCAAAATACTTTAACGTGATCTTAAAAAAGTAACTTTAAAATACGGGAAAAAACAATCACTCAAAAACCATTTACACAATGAATTACCACATACATATCACATACCTGATGAAAATAAGAATATGGGAGAGAACAATAATGAAACAATATAAGGGTTGTTCGAAAAAGACACCAGAAATCTTCTCTAAGGGTATATATGGCTTCATGAATTATAATTTAGAGTTAATAAAGCTCGTACTACATGAAAACAAACATTTATCCATGTTTTCTGTTGATTTTTATATTACTGTTCCTACTAAGTGGCTAAAAGTTATGATTGCGGAATGATATGACGGGCAAAGGTACCAACAAATATCGAATAACGACAAACAAATTAAAAGGGAAAACTGATGACATAAACAAAGCTCTAGGCTAAGTCGAGGAAAACGATGTTCGTAAGCTGTGAATGTATCAATTCGTTTGTTGGTATCCCAGATTATCTGAAGTCGACGTTGTTTCATGCAGTTGCAAACATATATTTTCTCAAGCAAATTTACCATAGCTCTCTTAATAAAAATGAATGTTATTAAATAAGTCGACTGAAAGACAGAAAGTGAAAATAAGATAATTTTTGCAGAGTGTAGGTTTATGGAGTATGATTGCAGTGGCAAACATAGTGAAGATAGGTTTGTGGGGAAAGTTTATAGCAAGCGTAAGTATAACGTCACGTAGTTAGCATGATATCAATATGGTACTATAATATAAAATGTTTGTTTCCATAAATAATATAGCAATGGTTAATGCCATGATATGCTAAAACTCCAAATCGAACGAGGCCGGCTATGTAGACAGATTTTGCACCTCCGGCTATGTATGCATCATACGCTTATCGACTCCCAAGCAGTTGTAATGTCACAATCTGGAATATAACAAATGAGATAGAATTACTAGTTACTGATACTATGCTATGCTATTATCTTTAGATCTGAGACTGTTCTAAAACGTAATCGCTGTTATGCACGATACCTTGAATTTCAAGGTCAAAATACAGAAATAAATATAATTTGAACAACATAATTATGACGCATTATTTTTGTTCGATTCTCTGTATTAAGAATAAAATAGAACAACATATATTAGTTTTTAACAAGAAAACATTAACTTGATTGCTACAGCTGCTCGGTTATAATCAGTATGTTCGGTTAAAACATTATGATTACAATTTCAACAGACTCACGATTGCCCTTGTGTCTAATGCGAAGTTTATCTTTAAGGACTCTCTTACATTCGATGTTTTAAAGTATGTGCTTATGACATTCCAAATATTTCACTCTAGCGAATTTAATTAAAAACACCTATTGCGAAATGTTTTACTCGAAACAACAAATTTTGCATATCTATATTTTTCTGCCATGACTGCAAAAAAATGCAAGACAGAGTGAAGTCCTCAAGTTAAAAATCACAAATGAACCATGATGCATCCGACAGGACTGAACGCAATTTAAGAGGTTATGGGCTACCGCTCAAAAATATGAAACCCACTGGGTCCTTCTTTGAGTTGCTATTAAGCAACTGGGTGATCTTGATTTGATTATTGTTGCATAAATAATTGGAATTTAAAAAAATTCTACAAAAAAACAAATCGGGGTGTATATAACATTTTTAATTTTTCAAATACTTTATCGAACCTTGTAGTTAAGTTGTGATTAGGTTTTCATTTGTATGTGAAGCAAATGGTGTTTTGAAATAGAGGCAACAGAAGTCTTTTGCTGCTCAAACTCCTGCAGAAAACTTTAAAGAATAACAAAACTGTGGTTAATCATACGAACAGAGCGATATCGGGTGCATCGATATGCATCGCTTGTCATGAGAATCATCGCTGAGTCAAAGTTTCATGGTAGAAAATAGGACTCAATCGGTAAGTCTAGAGACGAGACGAATATTATGTTAGACTAGTATAAATTTATACGTTATTTGTTCTTAATTATTCGAAACACGCAGTTTAAAATTAGAAAATGATAATTTGGTCGAGGATTTTAGTTGAATATTCTTTCCCGAATGATATCCGCTTTTTCAGGCAGACAAAGAATTAGAAGATCTAATCAGTACTGAATTAATGAACAACACGTACACTTATCAAAATTCACAAGGATCCGGCTACTTCAACAGGGAAACGTCGCTTTCTTGGAATACGTTATTTATAAAAGTAAGTGATGTATATTGTTTACTGTAAGTGATTCATTTCCTGCACGAGGAATTGTTATACAGCTCATTAAGCTAAGTATTTAAGAATAACAAAAGTTGCCTTACAGTATTATTTCCGTGATCACGATATATATCACCTGGAACGATTGTCCGGAAAAGTCTTAAAGGAAAACATTTTTTTATTATACTCGTACAGATGTTAAACATCACAAACATCGCTATACCCCTGTTGTGTAATGTAGATAGATGCGTTTTGTATAGATGACCTTCATTCTTCGTCTAGCATTTGCTATATAAGTTAGATCATAATACATGAATGTCAGATAGCAACGTTAGCATGTGAGAAATTGCGCTAAATTACTTACAATCCCATATTCTTTATTATTCTATTACAATTGTTTGTCAACTAGACGAAAATAAATCAGTTTTCTACATATACTTTCGTTAAGAACACTCAAAACCAAATATATTGGCTTTATTTTCTTTGTTGAAACATGATTAGAGCATATACCATTAGAATACTAGTGTCAATGTAATAGATTGTCGTAAAAAACCCCACTGGTATACTTTTACCAACAGCCATGAGTACTTATAGCAATACAATGTAAGCATTCTATCAACCAGATATATATATATATGAACAATACAACAACTTAGCTACACAACACAGAACGAAAATACATTGTTAATATCAATAGCGCATATGTGATACATGACACACTAGAGGAATATATTCATCTTTATTTATTCAGATATGATATGTTTAAGTGTTCACATGAAGTTTTTTTTATAGTGGGCTTGATAAAGAAACGCGTAAATAATAAATTTTGAAATATCACATATTGCTTTATAAATGTTCAAATGTATATCAACATTATAAATATGATATCAAATATTGAAAACGTCAATTCAAATGAGTTCTACGAGAGTCCATACATTTAAGGCCAAATCGTCAGGGCTTAATACTTTGCATTATCATTATTAATTTCTTTTTTTTTTTGTATCTTGTACGTGTCATATTTAAATTGAGGTCATTTGTTTTTAATACCCACACTTAGTCGATATCGCTTTAGCGGATTGTTAGTTATCAAGGCTTACTTACAGACTCCAGTTAGTGCTTTGATTCTGGTTCTGCTTCAATGCTTACAGTCCATTGTCAAATTAACTTTCCCTTTCAATTCATTACCTTTACAACAATAATTCATTCCTCATTCCTTATAAGAGACAGTTCACAGTAAATTTGAAAATGAGAAAATACAGTCGCGTGATAAGGTTTAGTGTACAGTTCATAATTAGTTTGTTGGAATCTGTTAAGTTATTTCGACAAGATAATGTTCTAAATCAATGAATGAAATAGAAAATGAATACAAAAAGTAAAATCACAAAAAGACCGAACGCCGAGGAAAACTCAAAACGGAAAGTCCCCAATCAAATGGCAAAATCAAAAGCTCAAACACACCAAACCCATAGAATGCATTATTATAATAATATCTATACGATATCATGGATACAGACTGTACAAATAATCTATCAAATGGTTATTACCATAATCAGGTAAGTTTTCTGCACTTCATACTAAGTTGTTTGTTTTGCATATAATGTGTGAATGTAAATAATACAAGAATTTGTCATAAATTTAGTAGCAAATACAGTAGTCTTGAATATTTGATGAATAGCCTGCTGTTTAATCCGCTCAACTTTGATGCGCACCCTTTATCATACCCAAATTTCACACCTCTTTATCACACTCAAATTGCTCATTTATGACAGTAGTGATTTCGACTAACTTTGCATAAAGTCCGTGTTTTAATTTATGCAAGCTTCTTAAGAAATATTTGTTCTCCATGGGTCCAAATGAAACGCTCATAAGCGCGTGATGTCATTTATCTATGACGTCATTATTTGGCATGTGACGTCATAGATCGAGCTTTCATATTTTCTGACACACGAATGCAACTTTAAAAAAGAACTCAACGAAATACTATACAAAACACACAAAAATACAAATAAAAAAATGTGTCTATGAACAACAGGAGGCAAATTGTAAGGTAACCTGGGTGCCACAATAATTAAGCAGTTCTTTTAAAGCTTTTAAAACAAGACAAAAGAAAACCTGAAGGTAACCCAGGTATTATGGATGAAAGCAGTTTATATATACTCTCCTGTTTAGATATATGATAAAGCGTATAAAACATGGCAAAATCCGTATCACATGCAGTATCACCCTCAACTAATATCATCACTCGGGCCTAAATGCCTTTGGGCTGATATTGGTATCTCGGGATGATACGGTATATGATTCGGATTTTGCCATGTATTATTCTCTATGAAACACAGCAATGTCTACATTTTTTTAACAAATACAAACCCACAAATAGTATGTTTATTTGTAGGCTGAATGCTGTGGCGTTGGAAGTAACATAACACATTCATTCACTGCATCATATTGGTATGTTAACCGTCGTGATTCGACCTCCCAGCGTATTCCAGTACAGTGTTGTAAATCTCAGACAGAAGTGTATCCATATGCGTATCAATACGACACGGACTGTACAGCTAATCTAGTAATTGGTTATTACCATAGTCAGGTAAATGTATGTCTGCACTAAAAGTATATCAAACAAATGATGTGAAATTATTAGCATACACTACAGTACCAATGACGTATGCTTTTGTTTATGTCTGGTACATGATCTTTTGTTATGATATTGTGAAGCAGAAGTTTTCCAGGTTTCAAAGATTATCTGGAATAATAAATATATGTGTAGATTTGTGAAATGCCTGAAAGCAATTTCAGTTCCAAATGTGTAATTTGACTGTATTAGTGTGTATTTAATATGAACATGTATATATATTTTTCATTTCGCCACGACATCCTTTTTACTGACAATGGTTTTTGTTGGGCGAAATATTTTATTCGAAAATGCGGTTTTACTATAAACAGATATTTGGAACCGATAAATTGGTGAACATCATGCAATACTGTCTTTGGTTGAATTGTATTTTTAAAGTCACGGTCTGAGTTTTTTTTTGTGTATATCTTAGATAAGAATTTTCTGTAGCATATGTAGAATAACATTTGTAATCAAATTCCATAGCAAAGTAGAGGCAACATTTTATAGCAAAGCGATATTCAAACTCAATAGCCGAAGACAAACTGACAATACAAGGGCAGAAGACGTTAAAAAAAAGACCAAACTACCATATAACAGTCTACAAATGTGAACATCAAAACATATAAGCTGAAGAACACGAATCCCATTAAAATCAGGGTTTGTGATAAACGTCAAACAAACGATTTTAATTAGTAAATTTATTTAGCACATGTATTTTGATAAGACAACAACATATACAGTGTCACGTTACGCTAGAATCTACATACCTTTTACTGCTCTTGATGCTGATTTGCTGAATTTGTAGTAAGAAACAATATTTTTGTATCTTTATTATTCTAATATTTGTATTTCACAATTAAAGAACTATTTTGACAAGTATTATAACAAAACATTAAGAATTGTTTGAATTACATTGTTGTTTCATATAAGTCCTCGGAAAGCCGCCAATCCAAAATGATCAATTAAAAGTTATAGCAAAACAACACTTATATAATGTACTTGCACTTTTCAATAAATGAATATTCTTAAATATTATTTTGATACACTAGGGATGTGATAAAGTAATAGTAAACAGATTGGATTTATACAGTCTTCTATTCTTTGTACTTATGGGAATCAACGTTTTTGCTGAGGTAAGACTTGAATGTAGTTGTGAAGCAAGAAGAGTATTGATTTTTGTATAAAATAGCTTACGCAAAACCATTTGGACGGACGGACATATATCATCGTAAGAATATATTGTTGTTTTTTCAATATTTGTTTAAGAATCAGTTGCATTTTCATCATAACAAGACGTACTTTTTATTTCCAAGAGTCGTGTACCAAAACAACTCTTATTTTATTTAAAACAGAGGTCTTGTCACCAAATGGGTTTGCAGCGATATTGATTATATGATCATTTAGTTTAGCTTGGTGAAGTTTGATTTTAATTCATCTAAATAAATATAAACCTTCCCATTGTGCTTTCTTTAACCTTATTCTTAGACGGTTTACAACGATTATCAATCAAACAAAATGCATTTCCTTTCAATCTAAAGGTTTCACTTCAGTAAATATAGCCAATGCAGTTTTCCATAGGACCTCCTTTCGCGGCTGAAGCTGTGCAACTCTTACTATGAAGTTTCGTATCCTAGAACGGAACGTTGATATGCACTACTTTTTTTATTCAAAGGTCAAAACATAGGACGCTGCAGCATATTTTCAACATCTAAAGGCCCAGAACTTGTTACAGCTGTTTTCCTCTTAAAGTTGATTAGTTTCTCTCGGGTTTAGTTTATAACCCGGATTTGTTTTCTCTCAATCGATTTATGACTTTTGAACAGCGGTATACTACTGTTGCTTTTATTAAACTTATACTAAAATTATGAACTATCCCTATATTTCTTTTTGGTCTGCCTCAAAATTCATTATTTATAATGGTACCACAATTATTTTTCTATTGTTATGTGCTTTATATCCAGAGAAAGGTAGAATGTGTAAAAAACACTAATGGTACTAAGTTTATTGCACCAGATGCGCATTTTGATCGGTGTCTCTTCAGTGATGTTTGATGCCAAAAAACTGAAAACCTATTTAAAAATTGAGGAGCTGCATGATAAAATGACAAAAGACAAAAAATGAATAGCCTAAGACTGTAAGCATGACACATGCAAATAATTCAAAGTAACTACCATACCTTGAAAAAAACATGATAGCTGACTTTACCAACAAAAATTCGCAATTATCACTGAGTAAAGTGTTATGTTGGTCATATGTTAGACTAAAAGAAGGGCGAAAGATAACAGAGGGATGGTCAAACTCATAGATCGAAAATAAACTGACAACGCCATGGATAAAAATGAAAAAGACAAACAGACAAATAATAGTACACATGACACAACATAGAAAATTAAAGAAAGACTAAGCAACACGAACCTCACCGAAAACTGGGGGTGATCTCCGGTTCTCCGGAAGGGTAAGCAGATCCTGCTCCACATGTGGCACCCGTCGTGTTCCTCTTGTTATTACAAACCCGGTAAATAGTCTAATTCGGTAGGTCACATTCATGAAAAGGGAAGGGGATTGTCGTTATGACATAAGGAAAATATTCGATATCACCTGTGAAACGGTTATTCCATAACGGTCAACCAAAATTCTAGTAAAACCAAGATTTTATCTGATGACTGTTCGTGAAAGTATTATTAGGATTGCAAAGCTTTAAAAAAGCAATAATAGTTGAATTGTCATTTATTCATTTATCATCCATGTGGGTTTTTACGAATGGGTTTCCTTTTGCTTACTACTAAGTGCAATAATTTGTTAACTAGTAGTTTTCCGTTTGTGCCATAACGTTGTCTTTTTTTATGAGGTAGAAGTTTTTGCCGCCTCTCAAATATAAGGCTACAACAATTAGACAGAAGTCATGATAATATTCGAACGACACATATGTGTTTATAAGACCTTTGGTTTTGATCAACATTATCGAGCAAATTCTTTTTAGATTTTTGTATGTGTGTTTGTTTTAATGCGCATCAAACGAATATAGGCGTCATAATGATTCAATATATTGTGTCATGTAAGTTTTGAAAGTTATTTTTTTTTATTCTGTTTTCCTTAGATTGGTATGATAGCTACTACTATATACAATGCAGTCAGTTTAACCACGGGAGAGAATGAGATACGTGTACGATATAAATCGGATGAAGACAATGTTGAATTAAATGAAATTACGAGAAACACATCTCGGAAGTCTGTACAAAGATGATAGATGCAGATGTTATTTGAGATCGACGAGAATTACACACTGCAGAAAATTAACTAATTGACAATGATTAATACAACATACAATTGTTGACTGACATTAACGATGCAAAAGTGACTATTATAAATGCTGAAGCATGAAAGCTTAACAATTATATAATCGAACGGAGAAACAAAACACTGATTTAGTTGCTGACAATTTTGTATTCATGCTGTTTTTTTTTATTTTTTGACGTTTCATTGCTGTGAAATTGTGGGAAGTCGATATTTCATTTATATGTGTATCACTCGTAATGTATTTTTGTAATTTTTATGTAAAGTGTGGTTAATGCAGTGCTAGAATATTAACAAAGTCATTATTGTATCAATAAATTGATTGTGGTACCCGTCTTATAATGAAAAGATATCTACAAATATAAGTAAATAACCTTTTGTTCAATTACAAAAATACTTATATGTAATTCTTCCTACTAGTATTAATGATGACAATACCAAATAACACTCGCAACTCTAAGGATCAGTTTTACTTGGTTAACCAAAGACGGTTGTAATTGCATGTTGTGTGAACAATAAAATAAATAATCAGATGAGAACAAACAAGCAAAGCAAACAGTATGTGGGTTGACCGGGATATAGAACCGAAAAATAAAACTGCGCCTGAGGTTATGGGACTATGTATGACAAGAAGTTGTGCCTTGAAATAGGCTATACGAGAACACTTAAAATACATGTTCTTTGTTTTTTACAAAAATGAAAGTAGCGTTGCCGATACCACAGCGCTGCCAGGAGGCATTAACTTTCTGTTCCATTTCGGGACAGGACAAGATGCGCGTTAAACTTTACGTACATTTAAAACGTTCTCTTTTTAACCATAGGTTTAATAAACATCTTAAGAGCAAGCTCGTCGATTTTAAAAGTAACGAGAATGTTCTTTCTAGAAAAATTGGAGATACGCAAAAACAATCAAAAGTATAAAAACAGATCTAAAAGCGTAAACCATTTTGATTAAAGTTATCCTTATCAAGGAAACAAAATACTATATGTGTTCAATAAACCGATCAGAGAAAATAATACGTTTAATAAAATTACGGAAAAAAAAAACTTGAAATAGTACGCTTGAATCTATAAATTTCTTGCAATAAGATTAATGATATATAGCTTGATATGAAATATATTCTACAATCATTAAATGATTACTATTAGTGATAAGTACGACACAAAATTATCGAAGACATGAAATATGCAAATTTTGATTTAACCTGTTGATACTGTTTGTAATGCTTTTTCGTTATTCAATGTTTACTTATTCAGGGTTATATCTTGTCTATATACCAGCTTTGATAAGTGTTACGTATGACGATAAATTTTCACTTCTTCGTACTATAAACAACAAATTTATTTATTTTGTATAAATATGTCCCTTTTCCATTTAAACTGTATACCTGACAACATAATTATTTTCATTTACCTGTGTATTATTGTAAATGGTGGATCTTCGTTCCAGGTTATTGTTGTTTTTTTTTCAGAAATCGTGTAACATCTTACAGTGGTATACTACTGTTGCCTTTTTTTATTCATCCTTTATTTTATTGATTTTATATTTACATTGTATTATAAATCAAATGTATTCGTTCAGTGTATGTTCACTTTTTTTAATATGTCTTTTGACTGAGTTGAGCCATTTCAATTGATATTTTATAGTGTGTCTTTCTATGTTGTGATGTTACACTTTTATTTCAGATAAGGGTTTTTGATGGTACCTATTTAAACGTTAAAACCAGGTGCATTTGTTTGCACCTGTCCTAAGTCAGGAATCTGATGTTCAGTAGTTGTCGTTTGTTGATGTGGTTCATAAGTTTTTCTTGTTTCTCGTTGTTTATTCACAGAGATTAGACCGTTGATTTCGAGCGAACGAGTCATCTGGATTGTTAAAAAAAGCAAAAGATAACAAAAGGCTGAGGCATACTCATAAGTTGATGACAAACTGCAAACGTGATGACAAAATAGGAAAAACGATAGTTGATAGACACATCACGACTAAAGACGGAGAAACACGAACACCTCTAAATTAAAAAGCGTGGGTCAAATCAGGGTCTGCCGAAGGATCCTGTTCTACATGACACACCTTTCATTTCTATGTCTAAGTTTTTCTGTTACCTGGATTCGTCATCATAATGGTATTTCCAACATATGTAGACTACCTTTAAAATTAAGGAAACCAATACCATCAGGACCAACTTTAATACTTATAACATTTTTTTGCTAAATGCGTTGGATGTTCATTGGTTGATAATTTCGTTTAGGAAATCATGATTAACTTATTAGATGTAATTGGACTTGAACTACCGTCCAATCAACATGAGTATTGTAAGATCAGTACACTGTCTATCATCACATTGCTAGTCGTTTTTTTCCTCTTTGTGTCAATGACAGGCAAAGCTGGCCTTGGATGGATTTGCTTATTTTCTAAGATCCTTTATGGTCATATAGTGATTCCACCTTTTCCCGTTTTAAACTTTGATTGTCAAATATTCAGAAATCGTTTAAATCATAAGCGAAAGAAAAACTGAAAAAACACCATAAATACAACATAGAAGACGAAAGAAAAACAAACTCTACAAATCTCTACATAAACAAATACAAATAGGTATACCAGGTGCGTTTACTTTTCTACATTGGCTAGAGGTATAGGGGGAGGGTTGAGATCTCATAAACATGTTTAACCCCGCCGCATTTTTGCGCCTGTCCCAAGTCAGGAGCCTCTAGCCTGTTAGTCTTGTATTATTTTTAATTTTAGTTTCTTGTGTACAATTTGGAGTTTAGTATGGCGTTCATTATCACTGAACTAGTATATATATTTGTTTAGGGGCCAGCTGAAGGACGCCTCCGGGTGCGGGAATTTCTCGCTGCATTGAGGACCTGTTGGTGACCTTCTGTTGTTGTCTGTTCTATGGTCGGGTTGTTGTCTCTTTGACACATTCCCCATTTCCATTCTCAATTTTACTTATGTGTTAAGAAAAGGATAAAAAAATATATTGAAAGGGAAAATTTAATGCTATAAACATTTTCAATTTCTTCAATAAACTCATCATAGATACCAGGATTAAGATTTCATATTTGCGCCAGACGCGCATTTCGTCTACAAAAGACTCATCAGTGACGCTCGAATGAAAAAAAGTTAAAAATGCCAAATAATGAGCGAATTAAAAGTTGAAGAGCATTGAGGACCAAAATTCCTTAAAAGATGTGTCAAATACAGCTAAGGTAATCTGTTCCTGTGATATAAAAGCCTTAGTATTTCAGATATTCAAAGTTTGTTAACAGTTAATTTATAATTTTGACCATATCAATGATAATTTATGTCAACACAGAAGTGCTGACAACTGGGCTGGTGATACCCTCGGGGAATAAAATCTTCACCAGCAGTGGCATCGACCCTGTGGATGTCAATAAACTTAGATACCAGGATTAAGATTTTATATCTGCGCTGAAATGTGAAATTTATATAATTGTTGTTACCAATAATCTATTTTTTTGCAAAGATCCATTATTGATGGGCCAATGTTTGTGCGTCTAACATAATTTAAGACTTAGATTTGGACTTTGGAGGTTTGGCCCAACAATATAAAATGTTTGACAACTATTTCGAATTAGCACATATTGTTTGGAAATGCCATAGTAACTCGTATAATGTGAAATTTGTTACTATATTCTGAATAACTTGCACCTTAGTCTAGTTTGTACAAATTTTAGAATATGTATGATAATTTTTTGAATTTTTAGTAATATTTGGGCCAGATAAAGGACTTATAACCCCCATTCCTTTCTGCTGAAAACAATAGTTTAAAAAGATTTTTTTTCATTTTATAAACAGGAATTAAGCAAATGTGGAGTTTTGTGAATTGCGCAAGCGCTGATTATATGGTTCTTTCATAATAAAAGACAAATCCATGCAGAGATTATAGCAGGTGCTTCGAAATAGAAAAAAAAATCCTACTGCTTCTTTCACTGAAAGCTATGAAACAAAGGGTAAAGTTATTGAATTCTTCCCTTTGGAAATTTGACAGACGCCATCACATGATTATCCTATTTGAAAGACATACAATTATTAAATCGTTAACTTCTAATATTTGCTTTATTTCTTTGCAAGAGGAAAAAGTGCTTTCCCTAATATATAATTTTTTTTACAAAAAAAATGTCTTTGCAAATGTCCTTGCTTACTTTAGTAATTTAAGGAGCTTTCAGAATAATATTTACTGAAATAGTTTAACAGCATCATCTTATATTTGCTATTTTGAAATCTGATTTATTCAACGCATGGCTCATTAAAAGCATATGTATTGGCTACAAGATTTTAAATCGTATACTAACTCATAATGCATTGAGGCATAAAAGTTAATTATAATAGATTCATTTAATTTCGGTCTATTTATATATTGAAACATTCATTTAATGTGATTATTTAGTTATAGTATATACATTACCTTGTTAATTAATCAATCACGTACAGCCTATAACATTCGTGTAAGTGATAAATAGGTATTTCCTGATTTCATTATAGTATTCAAATTGAGTGTCTGTAAAAAGCTGTGTTCTTTTTGAGAAATAACGCAAATTGTTGTATGATGAATACACGAGATTACCATAACAATATACTCGCAAAATTTTGTACATTTCTATGTGCATCATGTATTAATTTGCTCCGATAATTACCTTAGTTTCAAATCAATTTGAAGTTAAACTAAACAAAAAGGGGATCGTAAACATGAAACGTATCATGCTCATGGCAGATTTACACACTGTACGCGAAGGCTTAATTATCTACTTTATATACACGAATCAGCCGATTTCTCTGTAATGTTTTATTTTTTTTTTTATTGTTATCGTAACTCTTAATTCAATGTTATGATTTTCGGCCTTATTTTACCTTCTCATTACCCTTTAATTAATCATGATTTTACGAAATGGAAAGAAAACATTAAACACCAATCCTTCAAGGATATTCACGTGCTCTAAAAACTTCATTCCAGTTTATTAATTCAAACCTGATGTCAATGTATGTACAGTAGAAGAACATACAAATTATATCACATTAAATCCTACCACCTTACACCCAATCACAATATACGACTCATGACAATAATCCAAATTCAATAGTAAATTTCGATGTCAATGGATTAATTTCCCGCGCAAATGTCATGTGTAAAACAGGAAAGGCCATACTGAATTTTAGGTCTATTTTGTCATTCAGATTCCGATTAATATACAAAGTTATATAGATTACATATGTTAACTATATCAAAATTGGTTTTGAATTTAGTAACATTATCAGAAAAATGATTAATATCACGCAGACAACACTTTATAATATA